TATATATATATATATGAACCTCTTGCTAGTGATACTATTGATTATTTCTTACATTAATGAATTAATTTACAAATCGATCAGTTTTTTAACAAATATCACATTTGCTTTCCCTTGATTTGTTCTTATAACAAAATTTCTCTCAGTGATGCGTTTCCATTTTATAGTAGTCGGCAACGAGTAGCGCAATTACTTATATTGTTCCGCCTATGCGTCTTACAAATAATCTTCTTCAAAGCGTTCACTTAAGTTTGTCTCGCGTTGACCCATAGCATAATCACGCAGAACGTACCATTATGCTTGTTCTTTCGCCACAATGCTCGCTCATCGATTACTTCTCCGATTAGTCCATCCATCGTGTGCGCCTGAATCTGCTTACGATGACGCAAATCCGGCCGACATGTCGGAGAGCATCGTGCGTGGCATTTTTTTCGTTGAAAAAAAAAAGAGAGAGAAAACAAGCTCCGTCTTCGAGAAAAAGAAGAAGATATTTGAACATAAAGGGCAATCTCGATGATCATTTCCAAAGTTAATGAGCTTTAATCGAATGCTGAAAACCTCTTGAATTATATACAGAACAAAGAAGAACTTGTGTCATCATTTAGTACTCGCTAAACTCATGAAATAGTTAAGTGTTGCGCATTTGCATGACATTTGTAACATTTATGACTAAATTATGATTAAATTATTATTAAATCGCAACGTCTCGAGTACCAGCTCATCACGGTATAGGACGAGCGAGTTCTTCGCGCAGCAATTCGCGAGCGTGTCCTCGTTCAGAAGTCACGATCTCCAGTGAAAAGAGGAGATATTCGTAAGAGGCATTCTTCCGACTCCTGAGATCATCACGCAACGCTAATTAATCAATTGTTGCTTCTTTATTCTCGTGTCTCTAATTTCATTCTGGCTATGCCTGTTGCTTTGATCGCGCTTTCTGCAGTGTCTTCCCCTCTGTTTTCTTTTTCAATAAACATTTCGATACAGCTGTGTTCGTTTCATTCTGAGTTTAGAAAATATAATGTGGCGTGGCAAACAAAAGCTGACAGCAACTCGTGCCGATCACTTGCATGCGCTCGCGTGTAAAATATTACACGAGTCTGTCGCAACTGTTCGCGAAAGCGCATCGACCCGTTGCTGACAATGAGTTCTTTTCATCGAAACGAAGCGAGAAACATCGAAAGTTCTCTCGTTCCGCAATTTGCTTTTAACATCAGGGACGATGCGCTCCCTTCGCGCTTTTGATTCGTTATCGCGGTTATCAATTCGATCTCACGAATCTGAGTTGCCATCATTTGCAAAGCAAAAGGCATAACATAACGGTCGACAAAACAAGAAAATTAAAAAGATACATCCTGTAATTTTGTTTCAGTCTTTGACCACATCTCCATCGAGAAACTGATTTCGAAATCGTCTTAACCGCGTATATGAAGAAAAGAAAAAAAAGAGAAACGTAAAGATTGCGTATCATATGACTTTGGAAAACTTTTGCTCAGAATGTGACTTGAAGTGAGCTCGATTGAAAGCAGAAAGTTTTATTTTTACTATATTTATACTTATAAACTGAGTGACTGCTTCGAGTTCTTTTTATTTCTAGCTTTTCTTATTGAGAATAAATGAGAAGATTGTTTGGATATTCATTTTTCTATAAAATGAAAAAAATGTTTCCTTTGATTTACGATGGAAGTTGTGTTATTTTTAGCAATCGGTATACATCGCATGTTTCAGCGGCAAAACCGAAGGGATCTCTCGCAGAGATCCATGATCGGAGAATTGATCGACCGGTTTAACTTTCGCGCATGACGAACTTTCGCGTTTTTCGACCGTGAGTGTCGTCTCTGTCTGTGTCACGAATTCGACCGCAACCTCCATTAAAGTTATCGTTATGACGCACGCAGGCGCTTTCACGCAAACCATTTTGATAAAGTATTTCGACAAATTTTTTGTTTTCCACATTCTGAAATTTTATGTCAAACTTTACTTTGCATAAATGTGTTTTTATCTTCACTGAACGAGAGGCGGAGATTCATTGGTCTTTTTATATCCTATACCAACGCCAATAGCAGATCATTTCAGATGTGATGGAGGTTTATCAGTCGTGTATATCTATTTGAATTCGATCGCTGAAGCCAAATAATGATCAAGCATAATTGGTCGAATTGATGATCGCTGAGGATAGGATAAAGGATAGGTTAAAAAAAATTTTTAACTTTAATATATTAAAGTTAAAAATTCGAGTTAAATCTAATAATCTAAAAAACAAGTTTATTATTTCAGAATTCGAGTAATAGTCATAAGAAATAATATTTCATATATTGTACTTACGAGGTCATCGATCTCGACTAATTTTGAATTTTAGAATTTTAGAATGAGTATACATATATACGAGTTGACATCAGAAGTCAGTAATAAAAAAATATAATTTTCTAACTTTTTTTATTTTTGACGTAAAGTCGATTAAAGAAGGATTTTTAAATCTGTACTGTATATAAAAATAGTTGTAAAAATACTTATTGAAATAATCATAATCGAGAGAATAGACAACTTCAGAATATCCTTAAGGAAGATCTTAAAGTGAAGCCCTGGAATCGTTGTTTTACTGATAAAATATGATACATCGACACATTTTTACATACTACACATCTACACATACATAAATTTTCGATAAAATGAGCGTTTTAATTACGTCTAAATCTAATCCTTAAGAACTCGATGTTGTTTTTTTCATGCAATTTATTACTTTGTACTTTCAATTTTGTAAGCATTTTGCAGAGCTTTTATATCAAGCAAATGTTGTTGCGATTTGACAGCTTG